GGCATGCTATTTAAGTGAATGGTCTTATGTTTAAAAAATACAGTTTAAAATTATAAAAATTTTTAGATTTAATTGTATTAAACTTTTATTAAATTTAATTTATTAATTTACAATGAAATAAAGTATTCAAACATTTAAAAATAATCCCTTCTTGTCACATAAAAATGTGCAAATACCTTTTTATCTCCAGACAACATACTGCTTTGAATGCCACCATGTAGCACACCCATGGATACATATACCCCTGGCTGTGTATGCCTGCCCGGTGTGAACTGAGGATGCCCACCTGCCTACTCTATTTATGCATGAGAAGAAATGGGGGAAAACACAGGAGGGAGGAGTGTCAGTAAATCCAAATCATTATAACTCATGAGAGGCACTTAGTATTATCCCTAAATCAATGAGATGTCCTTAATGTTCTTAACTGATGAAGGTTCCCGGAAAGAATGAAAAAAGGATTTTTGAAAAACCATTAAAAAATTATCAGCACTTAGGCACCTCCTAAAAGATGCCTATAGTACATATACATGAGCAGGTTTTCATGTCTAAAAACTACCTAGATTATCTAAAGTTCATTTTATTATGACATTCCCAACAATTTAGGAGGCAGCGTGCATGGCAGACATAGTTCAAACATTACTGACAGCATCCACGCCAATCACACCTCTGCTCTTTAAAGCTGGGGGACCCGCCTACATCTTAGCTACTCGTCAGCCCACGGAAATGAGCTGCACCAGATGAGTTGTGGGGTGTTTGCTACAATGCCTGGATCTTCTGCTTCCACTGTCTCCTTCCCCCCTCCTCTTTTGTTTTTCCTCAACCGCTTTTCTTCTGATCTTATCTCAGTCTGACTTTAAACTCTTGTTTGCATGACACCCTCCTATCCCAATTTTTGGACACTTGCTGGTCTTCAAAGCATCTCCTAACTGAATGTTGTGCCCGGGTCAGGGCACCCAGTGGATTGCAGACTCTCCCATAGTCACTGGTGGTTGCTGAACTAACCACACCCATCCTTCTCCCCTCGTTTCCACCTCCCTGCTGGGAGGGAACCAGGAAAATGCCTCAAATCCAAGTTCACCAGACCAGTAGGAGAAGTTAGGGACACGGTTTCTGTCTGCTGATTTATGGAAGTGAATTCTCGACTTTGTACCTATGAGATCCGGCATCATTTTGAACAAAACTTAATTTCTTGGCTTCATTCTATGAAAACTGTACAAAGCACTGTAATAAGGAACGAGAAAGCCATGATTTATGACCCTCCACATACAGGAGATTTAATTCTGCCTTTTGCTCAGCGGCCTATCCATTGTGTGGACAAAGTCAATACCAATAATGAAATGTAGACGGAAGGGCTAAATCAATTCAATAAAACGCAATAGAAAGACTAGAAGACTGAGCAAATTTGAAAGTATTTGGACAATAGGTAATTACAAAAATCAATGCCCGTATATGAAGAGATGATAGGCAGCCATCCGTCACAAAGGGAGAACCATTAATGATGGTCTGGGCTTGAGTTAGAATGAGAGAACAAAATAGGTCTGTGCAAAGTCCCTACACATCTGTATATCTGTGTGTGTGTGTGTGTGTGTGTGTGTGTATACATAAGCACACACGTGGGCTCCCAGTGTGACTGAAGGAGAGACGAAGAGAAACTCCAGATGGCTCACTCTGCATTTTATGTAGGCCTCCTACATTTGCCCCGTTCCTTTGGCTCACGTTTACTAACTTTGATCTCATTTTGTCAACATGACATCAGGCTGTGCCCTACATACCTTTCCCTTCCTTGTCATCACAGCCTCCCAGGTACCCGGGGGACATTATCATGGGGTCCTGTCTGCGTCCGGAGCCTTTAGGAGGTGGAGGAGAGGAATGAATTCCACATGAACCACAGCTCTAAGGATCAGCTGTCGGGAAAGGTGATACAGGCAACCTTGGGGGGCACCCACAGCAAAATTAAAAAGTGATCACACACACACCCAGACACATACATACACACATAAGATAAAATAGTGACTTAAGTGTCTTAACTGTGTTCCTGGCCAAAAAAGAATATGAATAACTGAGTAGTCACCACTTAGCAGTTTGCATCCATTAAGTCATTTAGTCCCTACAGAGACTCTACAGGGGAGGTATCAGCATCTCTATTTTAAAGGTAAGAGTCAACAATCAGTTTGTTCAAGGAGACACAGCTGGTGAGTAGGCAAGCGGTGTGGGAAGATGTATCTCTCTGACACTGATGTGTGTGCTGGTCACCCCTTCCCTCACACCACCTTTTGTCTCCCACAGGGCATGGGGATGCTTCTGATGTGGCCATACACAAGTCCGTAGTCAGTTAGCTGTTGGGTGCCATTGCTGTGGAGAGGCTTCAAAGCCAGTCATGGATCATGGAGACAGAGGCAGCAACTTTGAACTTGCCCAGTCATGGCATCTGACTGCGTTGTTTCATGTTTGGCCCCTGACAGCTCTTTCTCTTCTGCCCACAGCTGAGCAAGCTGATAACAAAGCTCTCATGCCTCTTCCTTTGGCACCAGTAGGAGGTTCACGCCGTGCAAGTCCCTGTCTGCATGTACGAACCCCACCCTGGTACAGCCCATAACCACCACCAAATCCCTGAGCCATTCTTCTTCCCTGTGCTCTCCAGCCAAGTTCAGCCCCTTATGGGAGCCGACCTGCTCACCCTCGTAAGCCTCATTATGTGAGTAACACACCTTTTCACACTCTCGTGGGGTGTGTGCAGTGTCCTCAGTCTTGACATCAGAACCAAATCTGGGGGAGGAGTCCTGCTGCTGAGGGGTAGCCACACCACTTCTGAATCAACTTTATGCCAGTCATGGGATGAAACACTTTCATGGTCTCTAGAGAAACCCTCAAAGGCATCATCTTCCAAAAATGATGGTACGTTACCCCTTAATCAGAAATCTATCCTTCATTTTGAATGGCTACTTTGTTTTTTACTAAAGGCAGAGAATGATTACAATAATTACTATTTGGGACAGGAGCCACATAACTTTATTCTTAGATCATTTTAAGAGTATTTTTTGACACTTGAAGGTTATCTTAGATGAACAATCATTTCTTCGATCTCAGCCTTGGCGCTACTGATATTTGGGTCTGGACAATTCCTCGTTATGGAGGCTGCCCTGTGTATTACAGAATGTCCTGCAGCATCCTTCGTAACCGAGCAGGACCCTATGGGGCCTTCCCAGGACAGACCCTCTGTGTTGTCCACCTGTCTCTTGTCTGTAGAAAAACTTTAGCCAAAGAATAAATTTAATCGGAAAAGTGAGAAAATGCAGAAAGAGAGGGAAACAGTCAAGCAAGACAAAGTAATAATAGTTCAGCCATTAAACAAAGTCGAAGACCTTTAGTTCCTCCCCAAGGGCTACAGGTAATATGCTGAGCCATATTCTTGGAGCTGATTTGTAGATACTGAAACACCCACCTGGCGGAAGAAGTGAACTACATGATGCCCAGACTGAAGCCGTGACATAAGCTGCTCCGTCTCGCACAGTTCCAAGAACTGGCCTCAAGGACATGGGAACAAGCCGACCCTGGAACTGAAGACTAACTGTACTTAAAATAATCAAGATGACCCTGATCAGACCATGGCATGACCAATTTCGAGATGACCGTCAGAGCTGACTGTGCTGTTCTGCATGTAGCCACGCCCGCCACCTGTACACCCCCGAAACCCCCCTTTAAAAGCTCTTGCCCCCTGATCAGCAGTTGGTAGTTGCTTCTTGGACACAGGTCCACCTTCTCCCCAGGTTGCTGGTCTCCTGAATAAAGCAATCTTTCCTTTCCTACCAACACTTGTCTCTCAAGTACCAGCTTTTGAGCGGTGAGCGTCTGAACCTGAGTTGGGTTAAAACCCTGACTGCTACCCACTAGATACTGAAGGCTCCACCACAACCTTCTTCAGTTCTGACGACCAAAGATACCTCCAGATGTTGTCAAGTGTCCCTCGGGAGGCAAAATCACACCTGGTTGAGAACCACTGCCCTATATTCTTTCCATAAAGAAATATGACTGTTCTAGTAAGAATGAGCATGGGTCAAGCCCTCCATAGTCCCAGGGAAATAGAGACAGGAAAAAAAAAAAAAAATGAAAAGCTGCTAGGCTATATACATCTCAATGCAAGCAAGCAAAATCTATAATAAATTGCAATTATATCTTCAAATCTCCTCTTTCCACTCTTAAACTAATTTAGACTCATCCTCAAAATTGCTTACATGCTATGGAGATGACTCTTTGTAGCTTATAAAATCTCTTCTAAAAATTTGATTACTCAGCTGCTCATATGCAAACGCTTTGTCCCTTGTCTAAAAAATCAGAGTTAGCTGTGCTGACCACTGTGATTTTCCAGAAATATCACACACACCACAATTTATGCACTTTAAAGTATTCCAAAAACTTAGAGCATGTTAACAATTGTTTACATGCTGGACACAGATAGTAGTCTCTTTAACAGAACACATGTATCTGTATGATATCCACTGGCATCTTTGTAAATGGCTCAGAATGCTTGGTTATAACACAAAGCTGGTTTATTGCCTAAAGTTCCTACCTTACCAATGAGTTTTCCAGAAAGGACAGAGGATACCATATATTGATGTGGTAATCTTGCTGTAATTTGACGAGACAACAAAGATGCTTTGTATTTCTTTAGGATTTAGAAGCAGAGATGACTCCAGAGACAGAATTGGGAAGCAAAAGGCAAATCACACCAAAAGTATAGCATTTCATAATCTTGCCTCTGTGATACTAGCATATATCCTTGGTCCTCTATTCCTTCAGTATTCAAATATAAAAAAGAAGAATGTATACATAGGCATGCCATATACTTAGATGAAAAGTGCTATGCTTCAGTCATAAATGTGGATCTAAGTTTTGATAACATAACTTTAAGTTTCGTGTTTCTTTCTCTTTCAACATTACTCTGAACACCTAAGAGGTGATGAATCTGACACCAGTCGTTTGCGATTCCAAGTGGTGCTTACCTCGGCTTTAATTTTATTGTCTCCAAAGCAGAGGTGCTGTAAATAGGCTGCAGCATTAGACTGGACCGAAGGAAACTGATGTTGCAACATCTGAATCACTTCAGGCAGTTCCGGGTCTCTCCATCCAAATTCTCTGAACAAAAGGAAGGCAGGAGAACATGAGAGGGAAATCCTGCAATACTGTTAGCCTATGGTTAACTCACTTATGTAACGCCTATGAGAGTTTACACGGGAATATTTCACAACTGATTGTTCTGGTTTCCTTGCCCATGCACCAACTTAAAAAAGGATTTGAAAAGATTTCCTTGAGTAAATGGTTTGTAAGTATATACATGTGTACATACACATATATAATCTTAAATGTATCAACTGAAGTTACATGTTTATGAAGATTGAAAAAAATGACTTAAAATGGCACATGAGTTTATTAATATAGACATGTTTCATTTAGTCTTCAGTAGATAATTTATAAGATCACATTTATTTTCTAATATGTTATTTCAACAGTCTTGTTCAGGTACAGCATTTAGTTAAATTATCAGACAAGAGAAAATATAACTGGATGGGTCCAATCTAAAATGTCACGATAGCAGTTAATGCCATCTTTCTTATATTTATAATTATTATTGTTATTATCATAACACAACAATTTTCTAGGGATAAAAGTATTATAACAAGAAGCCTTTATAGGGCTTCCCTGGCGGCACAGTGGTTAAGAATCTGCCTGCCAATGCAGGGGACACGGGTTTGAGCCCTTGTCCAGGAAGATCCCACATGCCGCGGAGCAACTAAGCCCGTGAGCCACAACTACTGAGCCCATGTGTTACAACTACTGAGGCTGTGAGCCACAACTACTGAGCCTGTGTGCTACAACTACTGAGCCTGTGAGCCACAACTACTGAGCCTGCGCTCTAGAGCCCGGGAACCACAACTACTGAAGCCAGCGGGTCTAGAGCCCATGCTCCGCAACAAGAGAAGCCACCTCAATGAGAAGCCCATGCACTGCAACGAAGAATAGCCCCCGCTCGCCGCAACTAGAGAAAGCCTGCACATAGCAACGAAGACCCAACGCAGCCAAAAATAAAATAAATTAAAAATAAATAAATACATTTGTAAAAAAAACGAAGAAGGCTTTATAAAAGGAAATTAATTATTTAAAGAGTTAGGTTTATTCAAACAATGTTAATAAACCTTATGCATGGTACATTCTTTTCCTGTATCCTCCTGTTTACATCTGAGCTACTCCAAGAAGCTGGTTGTCTATTTAACTTTAAGAAATATGCTCCAGGATACTTAAATCCATTCTAAAACACAAGGTTAACTGTACCATTACGCAAATGAATATTCTTTCGTGAAATCGATCAGCTCAACCAGTCAGAGCATGGAGCTAACAGGGCCGGATGTATGGGTTCCATTCTTGCATCAGGGAGCCAATTTTTAACAGAGACATAAAAAAGCAACCTCTGAGACCACAGATAAAACCCTGACCCCACGAGCCACAAAAGGGTACTATTTCTCCGAAGGCCAGGCTGGAAGAGAGACAGCTTTGCAGCAATCACTTGACTCCTGGAAAAACAACTCAAAAGCATACATCCTATTGATGTTGTCACCAGGTCAGTGTTGTCACCTCAGAAGAGGAGTCATGAAAAATGGGACAGAGACGGAGCAGACAAAGGTTAAAAGTTTCCTCATAGATTCTAACCTGTTCTCTTTATCTTTTCTTTATCACGACTGGTAGAGGTTGTCAAGCAAACCGTGAAGCATGTTGGTGCCTCCTTACAGCTACTAAAGACAATGTGGAATAGGGTTCCTTTCGAATTGGCTCAGTTTTTATGGGAAACATAAAGCATTCGATTTAATGTGCAGTAAGTACGTAATAAATTTACCTAAAATCTTAGGCAGACACCCATTTTCAAATGGGCGTATAGTACAGGAGCACCTTTGCCACAAAACATACTTAAGTGGTTGCTGATAATGGACAAACTATCGGATTTTTTTTTGGCTAGGTGATCACAGTAGAAAAAAATTATGGATGAAAACACAGGAAGCCTGTTTTTCTTTTTAATTTCATGTCTTTCCGTTGCATGATCCTAAACCACCTCAATGTGCAACATCCAGAAAGCACAGTCTTTGTTCTTATAACAGCAGCCTCTTAAAATTATATCCTTTGTTCAGGTTAAATCAAAATCTACAGAACACCTGTAAATTAAAATTAGAAGTATCATGTAAAGACACTGGATGGCTAAGGTGAATTCAGGTAAGCCTGTGCTATTGGAAAGTGATTAGTAAAGAATTCATTTCAGCCTATTTTATTAACCAGATGGGAATTGCTCTATTAGGCTTATACAGCATAGATCAAGAACGTCTTTGAACAAGAGCTCTGCAGGAACAGTCTTAGGGGCTCTGCACACATGCAAACACACGGCCTTGCTTGTGTCAATGCATGTGTGCACAGACGCACACATGAGAGTGCATGCGTATGCGCACACACACGCACACGTGCACACACATGCACACACACGCACACGCACACGCACACGCACACGCACAGCCCAAAATCAACAGAAGGAGGAAAATTCCAAAGAGTCATCCAAGTCTCTTTTTCTAGAAAAGCTTTGTGTTACCTAGATGAGATTCTGCTTGGATTTTGTGCTGCCTATGTGCTTCTAGGGAAGAGCTAGAGGAAATAAAATGTCTATCTTATTTGGGCCAGAATTCAGTACAAGGCATGGATTCTTTACATGAGGTCTTTTTTTTTTTTTTAAATTGAAGTATAGTTGATTTACAGTGTTGTTTCACATGTACAGCAAAGTGATTCAGATATATCTGTGTGTGTGTGTGTGTGTGTGTGTGTGTGTGTGTGTGTGTGTATTCTTTTTCAGGTTCTTTTCCCATATAATTATTACGAAACATTGGGTATAGTTCCCTGTGCCACACCGTAGGTCCTTGTTGGTTATCCTTCACACGAGGTCTCAATCCTTAAGAACAAACAGTGCTCACAAGATAAAAAAAAGTTCTGGAAGAGACAAAACCAGCAGAAGAACAGCACGAGGGAAGATATGGGGCCATAAGAGGAGTTGACAGATTTGGGAAAGGTGTGCATTCAGCCGGGCTGGCTGTGGGACAGGAGGCCGTTGGGGGGGCAGGGGCGCTGCCTGGGAATTGCGGGGCGGGTGGTGGAGATGAAGCTGGAAAGCAAGGTTAGCATGAGATCACGTAGAGCCTTTCACTCAAATACAAAAAGTCTGGGCCTGGTCTGCAGTCAGTACTGTGACAAAGAAATCTAAGGAAATTTAGATATGTTTAGGCTTATAGAACAGACAAAAAAATAATCTTAAGTAATACTGCGAGGACAAACCAAAAGTCGGTTGCCAAGGTTCCCCGTTCACATTCTTTCACGCTTTAATCCTTAACTAGTCTTATGTAGTTTCCTTTCATTTCACGCAGGAGGAAATTTAGACTTAGAGATGTTCATGAACTTAAGTGGTGGGGCGGAAATAAAACTCTAGCTTTCTGCTTTCAAATAGATAAATTTAACCGTCTAACAATGATGCCTGCTGTAATCACTGTCTTGAAGTAATGTCTAAAACAGAAATAACGTCTAAAACAGTGATTTTTTTTAGACAATGTCTAAAAAATAAACATGTTTAAAACCGTGTCCCTAGGGGACATCTGACGACGCCAGAAGACAGTTTTGGTTGTCACAACTGGAAGATGCTACCGGCATCCGGGGGGCAGAGGTCAGGAATACTGCTCAACATGCTACAATGTAGACACAATCCCCTACGACAAAGAACTGTCTGTCCCAAAATATTATTAGAGCCAGGATTGAGATACCCTGGTCTAAACATGGACTGGATTTGATCATTTTTGTTGAGTAAGCATGTTATGAATCTTTTACTCCGTGATTACTGTCACAGAGCTGGCATAGGATTTGGCATCAGGATAATTAGGCAAGAGTTCAGAACCTGAGCATCTGGCTTTCTCCCTTCTAGACTATAAATACAGGAGAGTCCCTCAGTGCTTGCTGGTCTTGGTGTCCATGGATCAAATACAGAGAATGATACCATCTATTTCATGGGACTTCTTTTTAAAAGCCACCATAAAATAATCTATATGAAAGTGAAAGTGCTTGGCAAACTATTAAAAGCTAGATATAACTACTAATTGTTACTCTAAGACTGTTATAAGGGTATATATATATATATATATATGTATATTTAAAAAATTTATATCATACCCATTTAATTAAAAAAATAACCTTTTACTGTTGTGTATTCATTTGGACATTAGACTTATTTGAAGGAATATAAGTGTAAGAAGAGATACTACTGTAGCCTGTAGTAAAAACTGTGCATTAAAACGTGCCATTTTGAAATGATTTTTCCCCCATCTCCCTTCAGAGGCAGAGTCCTAGGAAGGGCAAAGTGTTCTGGACACAGTCAGAGTTGGCTCAGATGCTGTTCCTCTGTGAGCGTTCCTCCTGTCTGTGTCTTGTTTGCTGCTGAACCTCCACTGGCTGGCATGCGAGGTCTGCTCTGAGTAAATGTCCACGGAGTCCATCCGTTAGACTGAGATAATAATTTCTACCTTAGAGTGCTGTTGGGATGAGTAGAAGTAATATATAGGAACCCCTTAGAGCAATGTTTGGCACACAGTGTGGACCCTCAAGAAGTGTCAGGTGTTGTATATAACTAGATGAAGAAGAGAAGAATGAAAAATAAGAACCATCTACAATTTTCTACAGAAGCCCAGCTCATAACTCTCATTTGTTACTGGGCTTCACTTGAGAAATGTTCGTGGAACTGGAGAATATGCAAATGTAACCTTTTCTCCATTAAAACTTGTCACACAGACCGACAATATTGTGACTAAACCGTCACTCTTCTAAGGACTCTCTGAGTTGTTAAAATTACAAGGCGCTTAGCACGGAGCTAAATAGCAAACAGTTTGAAATTTGTTACTGTGTTAGGCTGCCGATGAAACAGAGCCAATGTACTGTCACAACATTTTTATCAAGTTGACTTCCATGTCGAAAAGAGCCCCAGGGCAATCAGAGTCTTCAGAAATTCAAACTGTCATTTTTCAGCAAAGCTTTATGTCGGAGGGAGAGAGTTCACTTTTG